TCCCCGCAGCCGGCCCGCGCCCCACCCGAGAGGCCCGGCTCGCGAGCTCGGCAGGGAGGGATCAGGACGAGGAAGGCGGCCTCCAGCTAAATAAATACACGGACACTCCAACTCGGGGTTCAGTCGAGGGGGTGAGGTTGCGCGTGGTAGTTATTTTTCTTTCTGCCATTCAGTATCCCTCCTATTTTCTCCACGGAAGGGTCAAGTCCTCTCTGTTGTCCTCTCCCTGCCTAGGAGGTGAGTTAGTTAAAGCACCCAGCCGCACGCGCAGTTGGAGGGGCTCTCTAGCCTTCCCCCGGGGAAAACAACACAAAACCAGGTCATTCATCTCGAAGTGACTTGCTTCTTTCTGAGGCTGCAGAGAAAGATTTAATTTCCTCTTTCTAAACTCGCACAGTGACGAGGTTGGAAATTCCAGGTGTGTGTGTGTGTGTGTGTGTGTGTGTGTGTGTGTGTGTGGAGCGGGGTTGGGAGGGATGGCTGTGCTCAAGGCAATGCTGGAACGCGCCTGATGAACACGCGCCCAAGGGCGCCACGCCCGCAGCCCACAGGACAGTTAGGGGGAGCAGGTGCAATCCCAAGGTGCCAGCAGAGCCATGATCTGTGTCTCTCTCTCTCTCTCTCTCTCTCTCTCTCTCTCTCTCTCTCTCTCTCACACACACACACACACACACACAGAGCAATGTAAAATGACTCTGAAGACCACACCAAATTTGTATGAAAAAGTATTCTTGTATTACCAATATGCAAACGCTAACCATTATACAAAAATATTTAAAAACAAGCGCTCACACGTACAGCCACAGAAAATTTATCTCAAAGGATCATCCTGGAGATTTTCAAAACACGATAGATGCAGGGGACAGAGGAAGTACACCAATCATCTATTCAAGGTCCTTACAGTAAGACTGGTATAACTGATGTTTCTCCCTTTTTGAATTTCCTTCTTTATTCCCCCGCCCAGGTATGTTGCGGGGGTTTCTGAGAAACCAGCTCTTCGAGTGAGGGAGGGAGAGAGGAGGATCCTATCCTACACCTTTCATCCACTGGGGGAGCCTAGTCGCCCGGTAATACTTCTAAGTATTCCCATATATTTTCTCCTACTTCTCCAAGCTTCATAGGATCTTGGTAACTGCCCCGTGCAATACCCTTATTTCAAGAACGAAGAAGCCGAGACTCAGAGAGGTTAAGCCAAGACACCCAGGGTCACACAGCAGAATGTCAGCAGTTCACATACTGTTTGGTACACCATGTTCTACAACCTCGCTTCTTCCTCCAGATTCACAGCAGCTGTATTTCCAAATAGGGGATGTGGAACCAGCACACATAACACTTAAAACTGCCAAGTGTGATCTTGTAAGACTTACTGCAAATATAGCACTGAGATTTTATCCCTATCACCTGCCTGATCCTAGTTATTAATGCATGTGTGTTTTTCTTAAACTAGGGAGCACGGGATAAATGGCTGTGCCTGGAGTTCTGAGAGGGAAGAGCCAACATAACACCTGAGAGGGATACTTTGCTGCCCTGGGCTTGTTTCTTATGCATCTGCCTCCTCTCCGGCATGCTTAAAGGCTCACTCCCACAGCCTCTGGGGAAAAGGGGTCTCCGTTTGCTAAACACCGCCCGCAGCTCCTGAGTGTTTACCTCTTCTTTCCCTCCTTGCATCCTGGCTCAATTTAAGTATTTCTCAAAGCACCTTTGAAAACCCAACAGGGCCTTTACCCGGGGAAACCAGATGTACAAACAGACACACATCAGCATTACGGGAGTGGAAGGGACAGGCTCCTTCAAAGTGTGTCACTCTGAACTTGTAAACAGTGCAGCGATGCTATGTTCCCCATAGTGGGAATTTGCATAGATGAAGTCACCCGGAGAACTGGGCACTCCATAGTTTCCTACTCCGTTCCTCCCTGGACACTTGCAGACCACAAGGCTGCAGATTAGGGCTCAAGGAGAGAATCCTGTAGGTGTTTCCCGGTTCAGGTTAATGAAGTACTTAGGAGTCATCTCATGATATAACCATCCCTGACATCATCGTCCGCATCAGAACCACTGGTGTCACTTTTATCAGAGAGGTCATCTCCGGTCCACAGGCACTCGGGAGGGAGGCTGGGGAAGAGCACCTGTAGCTTTTCCCCACCTGCCACCAGAAGGCTCGATTGTGTCTCCTGGGGGTCCTCTTCTAGGTCGACTGTATCTCCTGGAGGAGGTAACACCAGCATGGCTTCTTCGGAGTCTTCTGGGTCATCATGGAGAACTCTCAGGAACACGGAATTTAAATTCACATTGAAGGTAATTTTGTCCCCAGACCCCCCAGTGGAGTTGCTGTCACTGTCCCCGGGACAGGGGTCCTGGAGCGGGCCTTTGGTCCTCTCACAGGGCTCACTTGTGCGTTCCCTCTGCCCTGGGCTGGGCCCTAGTGCTGCAGGAGGCCGGGGCCGGGGCTGGGGCTGGGGCTGTGTCTCCTCTTCAGGCTCCTCAGATGACTCATTGGCTGAGTCTTCCAGATGGGAGGCCTGGGAGGTGGCTGAGGAGGTAGGCATCTGGCTCAGAAGCCGGCCGGTCAGGCCATGTATGGTGTAACCACCCCCACTTATTCTGAGGGGCGCCTCATCTTCACTGTCACTCTCATCATCATCATCATCATCATTAGAATCCTGCACTTTCTTCTTTCTGTTGATGGAAATGACCTCCACTGTATTCACTTCTTCTAACAGTGGCACTTCAGGAACTCTCTGGGTTATAAAGTTTCGAAAAATCTGTTGGGGCGGGGGGGGGAGGGAGAAAGGGAGAGTGTATCACTTGTGTTTGCTCTTTATTCTTCACATAATAAAACTTTGTATTCATTGCACAGTGATGTGCATGGTGATTATGATAACAAAAATAGTAATACAAGAGCTGACAGCTACATGGTGCTGACTAGTTGACAAGCATTGCCCTTAGCACCTCACACCTACAGCTGGCCTCCAAACCCCCAGATGCTGGAGTCCTCTATAGATAATATCACAAGGTTGGCATAGTATCTGTGCACATCCTCCCCTCTATAGCCCAAGCTTTCCAATTTGACACAGCTTCTCTTCCCTTACTCTATCAAGACCCAGCCTTGGGGGCCAATTTTTCTACCAGGTTATTCATCTTTTTTCTTATGAGTCACAGAAGTCCCTTATATAACTACATAACTTGTACACTGATCATTTACTTTCATACATGTATTTTCCCCAGTCTGTGGTTTATCACATTATTCTCTTTATGATGACATTTGATGAAAAGAAATTCCAAATTTTTAAGGTAAGAAGAGTTACCAATTCCTGTATGGTTTTTGGTTTTTGTGTCTGAGAGCCTTCCTTTCCCTCAAGCCATACAGAATGGGTTATACAGGGGCTGGGGATTTAGCTCAGCGGCAAAGCGCCTGCCTGGCAAGCGCAAGGTCGTGAGTTCGGTTCCCGGTACCGGAGAAAAACCAAAAAAAAAACAAAAAAAAAACAAAAAAACAAAACAGAATGGGTTATACAGATGCTCCTCGACTTATGGTGGAGATATGTCCCAATAAATGTATAGTAAGTTGAAAATACTATGAATTAAAAAGTCACTTAATGCACCTGCCTAGAACATTATAGCTTAGCCTAAACTACCTTAAACATGCTCAGGATATTACATCATCCTATATTTGGGCAAAGTTATCTAACACACATTGAATAATAATTGCATTGGGTGCAATGCATTGAATATCTCACATAATTCAAAATTTAAAGTGTGGTTTCCACTAAATGCATGATATTTTCACACTATTGTAGAGTTAAAGAATTGTAAGTAGAACCATTGTTGAGGGCCATCTGTGTTGCCTTCTAAAATTTTAAAGTTCTGCCTTTCACATTATAATCCTTAATTTACCTAAAACTGGCTTTCATGCATGGTGTGAGGTAGGGGTCCTCTGCCATTTCCCTCAATATATACAACATACAACATTTACTGACTAGCTCATCTTTTTTCCCACCAATTTGCAAGACTCACTGTCATGAACCATGTTTTTATGCATGTGATTCTTTATCTAGGCTTTCCATTTGACAAGGTTTTTGTGAATGCTTTTCAATAAGATTTGATAGTTTTCCCCACACTGAGCTTGTATGTCATGTTAGACTTTTTTCTTATATGCTTTAAAAATATTTTTTGTTACTATTGTATTTTTTTTTTTACTATTATAAATAGTATTCAGTTTACATAAAATTCAAAACCAGGCAAAACTAACCTCTGATGTTAGTAATCAGGACAGTAGTTACCCTTAGAGAGTGTTCATGCTTGAAAGGTGCAGAGGACAGAATTTTGGAGGAGCTAGCCATGTTCTATTCATCAAGACATGAGTTAGACATGCTCTAGTCATCAAGACAAGGTTGTGGAGACTCACACCTAGGATTTATATACTTTGTTTCTTGGAAGTTGAAGAGCAGTTTCATGCTTACTTTCTAATTGAATGCTGCTGATTTTTTATGGAATGACCCTGCTAATCGTATCAATCCCAGTAATTTATCTCTAGAGTTCTGTGAATTCTTTCTTTACACAACTGTCTCAGCAATAAATAATCATTGTCTCTGCTTCCCCTCAAACTTTAAGCTCCTTGAGGGCCAGGTTTTTGTTTGTTTTGTTTACTTCTATATCCCTAACACCTAGATCATGTTGACACATACTAGATGCTCAACAGGTATCTGTTAAATTAAAAAGAGAAAATAAGTCACTTAAAAATTTTAACACCTAGTCTTGATTAAAAACATACATAAACACACTAGCCTAGACTGTCCTAGTTTCCTCTTCCTAGAGTTTTTAAATGCAGGGAAATATTTTTTAATGGAGAAATACTAAGCAGACACACAATGACAACACAGTAAGATAAGCACAGCTGGGGATGGATATTTAATTATATGGTTGTTGGAAAATTAGAATAAGGTGGATGAGTTCAGACATAAAAACTAAAGTATTTCTGAATAAGCTATGAAAGTGATACACAAAAGGAACACAGTAGGGTAGGGAAAATGATAATTGATGGTGAAAGTAGTTCAGTCAAAAGACAGAAGAGTTTTAGAAAGATGTGAGACCAGTATCAGACTCTTGTAAAAGCTTTGGCCAGCAACACAAAGAAGAAAGGAAAACAAGAAAATGACTGTTATTGTTAATAATGAAAATAACACAAATAAGAGCAACTAGGGAGAGTTGTTATATGAACAAAGTAGTAAAAATGATTCACCAATGTCATTGACGCTTTGCAGAGGTATATGCATCACTGCTGGCATTATAAACCATTTATAGTATGGTTCTATAAGATACATCATGTTGTATATATGTTACAGTGAAGTAACCAAAATAAAAAGATAACATATAAAAATTTCTACTGTACTATTCATAATGGCAAAAAGAAAGAAGGAACAGGGCTGGGGATTTAGCTCAGCAGCAAAAGCGCCTGCCTGGCAAGCGCTAGGTCGTGAGTTCGGTTCCCGGTACCGGAGAAAAACAAAAAAAAACAAAAAACAAAACAAAACAAAAAAAAAAAGGATGCTTAGTTCAAAGTGGCGAAATAAAAAAGAAATCAATCCAAATGTCTTATAGCTGGGGAATGGTTAAATCATACATTAATAATAATGAAATTCTATGTAACCATTAGAAACAATATGAACAAAGAATAAAGAGAAAACATAAAACACACAGATACATTTATAACTGAAAATATGTTTTCGCGAATGGAAAGGAAGCCAGCCTAAAAAAACTCTGGGGCTTTCCTAACATGAAATTCTCTTCTGTGAAAACATTTGTGTACAAATCTGTAAAGTATATAATAAAAATTTCAAAGTTAAAATTAAAAAAAATAAAGTTTTAAAAAACTACATACCAAGACTTTGGGAAAATTAGTGTGTAAGCATACACATCCAATCTGTCTCAGTGTTAAGATGACGCCTATGGCCACTGATATAAAAATAATAGCGAGTGCTACTATTTTTACAGATTCTGATGTCCCTGTTGATGAGAAAATAAATTAATTTATTTCAAAAGAAATCCCGTAAGCCACCACAGGTAGGAATAAATGCACATTGCTTTGGTGTTACAAAGTGATATTGTGCAAATACAAATTTGGGGGGGAAAAAGCAGTTTTAGGCATCTGTATGTTCTTGGCCACGGTCACTCACATTCGGCTCAGAAAAAGCTGTTTTCTTATTTCTTTAGAGCACAGTTGATATGTCAGTGATTCTGGCGCCCAACGAGGGGCCCCAGAGATGAACCACTTCACAGGGCCAGTCACCCTAACAGGCACCAGGTACCAGCACCAGCCCTGTGTGTCCACTGACTGGATCTCCTCCTTGGGTGGACACCGGGGAGTCCTTCCTGGAGCCCAGAGCCTGCCTTGGGATTGAGCTAGTTTATCTGGACATCCCCTGTTGTTGCAGAACCTTTGTCAGAGCACTTGCTTCCTGGCACTTACTCTTTCTTCCCTCCGCTCCTCCAGCATCTAAATTTGCCTCTTTGTTTCTTTCTCCTGAGCACTGCAGTCTTACCCCTTGCATTATTTTTTATTTATTCATTTTTTAACTATTGCCCTTTTAATATAGAAGTTCTGTGAGCACCTGCTCAGAAGGCCCCAAAGGTCGGAGGTATTCTCCCCAACCCAACAGAGTGATGGGGTCAGGGTGGAACTCCCTAGGATGTGTCACGGCCTCACAGGGAAGCCCCAAATTAACGTACCTCCTTGTTCCTGAGCCAGAAAGACCTTTATTGGCTCGTCCAGGAAGACACACATAAGGAGCCATCACCCAGTGCCCTGAGCCTCCTCAGGTATGTTCTACAAATGTGCAGGATGGCTGGGACATGGTGAGGGGACCTGGCCTTGGGGTCAAAAGTCTTGGAAAACACCTCCATATGCAATATGAAAACTGACCCAAAACACAAGTCCTATCGTTTAATGCAGGAAGTTGCAATTTTTGGGAGAGGAGGTACCTCCACTAAAAAAATGTAAAGAATAACCGAACCAAGCCAAACCAAATACAGTTTTATATTGCTAAAGACTAAACAGAAAAATACAGAGCTGCCTCCATTCATAAACTTAATTCTGGTCACAATTCTGGTCACAAACTGAATTGGATGAGAACCGAATCAAATTCAATGGTTAGGTTCACTGTTGACCTTATGGGGAAATTTGATTCAGTTGTTGTCCAATTCGGTCTGTGACCAGACATAATGGAAAGAATTAAGTTTGTGAACGGAGGCACCCCTGTATATTTAGACTGCAAAGTGAAACATTTTCAGTTTATATTCTATAATGTAGTACAGTAGCCACTGGCTATAGTTGTTTAAATTTAAATGATCAAAATGAAACAGAATTAGAAGCCAGTTTCTCCATCCCAGTAGCTGTATCTCAAATGTCCATGTGAAGCTCATATTAGCTTGTGCTGCAGGAAGGAAGGTGTGGAGAAGGAAAAGCTTATCTGAAAAGAGAAGGCCATTCAAAGGCTGGCCTTAGCCACATCAGGAACCAAAATCTGGGCTCAGCTTTTTAAGCCCTGTATCTCTCGGGTCCTCCATCCTTCAGATCTACACTGTTACTATTTTTCCTTTGCTCAGTTCACAACTATTCTACCATGCTAGGCCCACTCCTACCTCAGGGCCTTTGCACTTGCTGGATCCTCTCTCTAGAACCCCTGATATATCCGCAAGACTTTGCACTTGCTGGATCCTCTCTCTAGAACCCCTGATATATCCGCAAGACTCTCTCTCTCTCTCTCTCTCTCTCTCTCTCTCTCCTGTATTCATTTCCCATTGTCTTGGTATTAAATAATGACAAAGGCAGTGGCACAAAACAACACAAATCTATTCTTCCTGAATTCTGGAGGTCAGAAGTCCAAAATGGTTTTCACTAAGACAAAATCAATGTGTTGGCAGGTTGCATTTCTTCTGGAAGCTGCAGGGGACAAAGTCCACTTCCTCACCTTTCCACCTTTAGAGGCCTCTTTCATTCCTGGGCTCATGGCCTTTCTGTCATCCTCAAAGCCAGTTTAATAGCCTCTCCCAGTCCCCCGACCTCTGCTTCTGCTGTCACTGCTTTTTCTCTGACTCTTGAGTCCTTGTTCTTACTCCCTTGAGCCTTATTTGTATAATAACATCTACCAAGTCTCTTGGCCACATTCACATACCCAGGATGGGTGACCATCCCTCCACCTACCACACCTCCCTTGGGTCTTCATTTGAACGCCACCTCTCTGGAAATGCTTCTGTGGCCATCAGTGATCCTGCCCATGTCCCCTTGACCACTCAGTGAGTGACCCCCATGCTACTGTGCACATGTGTGACACATCTGAGCTGCTCCTTCTTAAGGTATTGCCCTGAGCCAGAGCAGGGCTGCTCACCCGGGGCTACGCCACACAGCACCACTAACGGACTGATGACCCAGTTCATGCTCCAGAGACTCTCCAGTACTCAGGCTCTGCCGAGATGCTTCATTTCTCCCTTCCTGCTCTGCTTTGTTCCGTTATTCCTCACTCACCGTGATGTCCCCCACCACAATGAAACCACACTTGAACAAGGATCCCCATCCTAGGTTGTGCTTTCAGGGAATGTGAACCAAGATAGGGCCCTATTTAAAACAGGGGACCCATCCGTGCCAGCTGACCATCCTTCCCTTCCTGCTTCACTTTTCTCCCTAGTGTTTATGGGCGCTTCACATACTATGGATAGTGATTGTGAAACCTTATTATTCCAGCTCCTACTGCAAAGCAGGTGCCACAGAGTCGGAGATCTTTTTCTCTTTTTTTCACTGCCACATTCCCAGTATCCAGAGGGGACTCTGGCTTACAATACAGCCCTTTGTTAGATGAATGAACAGACCTTTTCCCTGGAGGCTTACTAAAGAGACAACCAGTTGGTTTTAGGGCCTCAAGGGGAAGGCATTTGGCCAGATCTTTAAGATAAGATCCCTGCCACCCCTAATTAGTTTGCCTTGAGACTGCAGTGCTTACTGCTGAGTCTACATTAACGCTGGCTTCCAGCTGATGGCCCTGCTGTCCACTCAGCATCACAGCTGTCTGGATCTAGAGTCTGACCAGGGGTAGTTTAGAAGTCAAGGAGGCAGTGAGAGATCCATGTCATCTCAACTGTTTGGCTTCTGGGTTTCAGACAGGAAGATCCCTCATGGTGGGGGATACGTGCACTGGAACGATCTTGGGTAATGACAGAAGAATGGAGCTAACTTAATATGCTAAACAGTGTACAAGCCAAGTAAAGACAGGCTGATCTGACACCACGCTCTTGCTCAGCTGTGCCTTTGCAGGCGGGTCAGAAATGCACAGGTACAAAAGATATCCACGTAATGCACGTCCACTTCCAAAGGACTGTCAACCACCCAGGGAGCAACTCTGTGTGTCAGGAGACCCTCACCTGCCCGTTTTGTTCCTGACTGGTGCTTTTATTGTATGGAGGAATGTTGTTTGTTCCGAGGATCATTACATAACACAAAATTTGCATGTGTCAGGTCTTTGTCATCGGCTCAAGGCACAGAGCTGCAGAAACCCATGGAATTTCCCCATGAACAGCAGTGTCCTCTTCTAGTTCTCAAGCCCTCTATGGGAATTATTATGGGTGGAATGTCCCCGCCAGAACTTTAATTGCCAGTGTGACAGTACTGACAGGCAGGGCTTTAAGAGGTGTTGGGGATGCAGAGGCTCTGCTCTCGTGACAGTATTAATGCCATTCCTGTGGGAATGCCTTTGACATCGTGGAGGTGGCTTTGTTGTAAAAACTCTCCACCTCCTGCTCTCAACAGGTAACACCTCTACCATGCTATGACACAGTAAGAAAACCTTTCCATCTTGGACTCGCCAGCTTCCAGAACAGTTAGCAAGAAATCTCTGTTCTCTGTAACTTACTGAGTCTCAGGTATTGTGTTATGGCTGCAGAAAATGGACTTAGAGACCGTAGAGTTGATGGTAAGGGTGTGACTCCTGGGGGCAAAATGCAGCTCAGTGGCTTCAGGATGAGGGCAGACCACAGGATCTGAGGGGTCTGATTCTTGGTAGTAGTGCAAGAGAGGAAGTGAACTGTTCGACATGTACTTCGAGTCAGAACTGGTGTTGGAACCTAACTATGTTAATTTATATGGGTTTATGTTTTTGTAAGTGCTATAGGCATAAGGATTCTATATACAATTTTAGGTTTCCCCTATTTAATCAGTATCATAAAGACACCTTAAGCAAAAGGCTTGACATACTTTTCCTTTAGAATCAGTGTGTGCGTCACTGGGCTTTGAGGGTCACCGAGGATAAAGTCACACTACGCTGTGGCTCTAGCTAATGCTAAGCATCATTGGTCCAGGTACAGTCTGGGGCTGTTCACTGAATCCACAAATAACTATATCACTCAAAAGTCCTTTCCTTATACATCTGACCTTATTTTCACTCTGGTCGATCAGAATATTAAAGAGACTTCCATTGCAGTGGGGAAACTCAGAAGGCCTTCTTTGAGGAGACTTTCCTTTTTGCTAAAATAGTCGCGATCCAGGTGCTTCCCCCGACAGTAATGGGCAGAGAAAGCCCCTAAGCTTGCAGGTTCTCACTGCACATTTCTGCAACTGTATTACTGTTCTGGTGTCTTTGCAAGAGTTGGGCTTTCTGCCTTCCTCAGTGACTGACTCATCTACACTGCCAAAGTTCCCTTTCTTCTCCAAGCTAGGGCCCCAGCTCCTGCCAGCCAGGCCAGATCTAAGAACAAGAGCCAACCTCAGATTTCAAAATCCTTCACCTTCAGTGCCTCTGCATGCAGTAGCTTCAAACAACTGTGCACCCTCCAGTGACTGGCTTGAAGAATGGCCAACCTAGAGGCACACGGCTCTGCATTTAATCCTGATTCCTCAAAATAAAAGTGTTTCCACTTCAAAAAGGCATCTTGACCTTACAAGGGTAGATAACTGGATCATCCTTATGGCAGGACAACATAGCTGTAAGCACCGGCTGGTGACCAGCGGAAAACATCTCTGGGATGTGCCTTTACTAGAAGGAACACCTTTAGGGTACCAGGAATTTCAGTTGTTTTCTTTTAATAGGTTTTTATGTCAGTGAGTAAAAATATGAATTTTTAAAAGGTGAATTTTAAGAAATTAACATACCTGATACTTGGCCAGCCTGAAGGAGGATGCATTTTAAGGGAGGTTTTATTACTGTGGTTGAACTTTTGGACTCAAAATAAACAGACACACAGTAGTTTGTGTTTGGAATTAAGTTGTTAAGGACATAACTGAAATTTCCACTGAAGCTTCCATTTATATTGGGTTCATGCTGAAAAAAGAAAAAGCAAAAGTAAGACTATAGTAAGAATTTCATTTAGAGGCAGGCTGTAAGAAACTCTTTTGGATTCTGTCTTCAAATCCTAAACAAGGTTAGAGAGGACAGAGGTGTGACAAGGAAAAAGGTTTATAAATTGCTTGGGCCAGCCAGTTTATCACAAGACTACATGTGCTTATACACACATACATACACCTATCTTAAAACCATGGAGTCTCGTCTAGCAAATTCACTTTGTATATGTTTATTTATTTATTTATTTATTTATTTTGGTTTTTCTCTGGTACCGGGAACCGAACTCATGACCTTGCGCTTGCCAGGCAGGCGCTTTGCTGCTGAGCTAAATCCCCAGCCCCTCACTTTATATATGAAGAACAAAAGTCCCAAGAAGAACAAAGCTCTCTATGATGTCACTTTTTACAAAATCATCTTCTCTCATTGACAACATGGGTCTAGTTTACACTTCAGAAAGGACTTCCCTGTACACTGACTCCTTTAATTTTCAAAACCATTGTTCCAGTTTAGATGGAAAATGTCTCCAAAAGTCTTATGTGTTCAAGGATGATAGATCTCGGGAAGAGCCTGAATTATACTGGCTCTAACTTCATTGAGTGGATTAACCTCGTGATGAGTTTCCTAGCTGAACGGGTTTATTTGGAGGTAGTATCTAAGGGAATGGAGCAGGTTGAAGTGTATATTTTGTCTCCAGCATCTTCCTCTTGGGTTGTTTCTCACTGTTCCCTGGCTGCCACAGGGTGAGCATCTTTCCTTGGCCATATCCTTCCACCCTGGTATTTCTGCCTCACCATGGGCCTAATGTCATGGAGCCAGTTTACCATTAATTGAAATTATCAGTCCAAATCAACCTCTCCTCCTTTAAGGTGTTTTGCTCAGGTATTCTGCCACAGCAACACAAAGCTGACTAACACAACCATCTAGGCATTATCTCCATTCTACGGATGAGGAAACTTCAGGTCAAAGTGCCCAAGGAATTTGTCCAAGATCACAGAGCTTGTGGGAAGTGGGACAGAGGCTGATGTCTAAGACATAGTGCCTCTCCTTCCCCCTGTAATTCTGTTACATTTCAAGAAACACAAAGATAAACCTGGGCGCAGTGGCAGAGGCTTATAATGTCAACACTTAGGGAGGCTGAGGCAGGAGGATCGCAAGATCAAGTTCTGTCGCGGTAATTTAGCAAGACCCTGTCTCAGATAAAAAATGAAAAAGCTGGGGATGTAGCTCATTGGTAGAACATCACTTTGTTAAATCTCCAGTACTAAAACAAAGTTTGACGACAGCAATTTAAAAAAGAAACCCTATGTTTTATAGTTTCCAAAATATATTTTAGTAGCAATTTTAGAGTAAGATTTCTAGCAGTTCAAACGCAGCCTTGGGGAATCCTGTGTTTCTACAAGTTTCTGTCTGGAAGGAGGGGGAGTTATTAAACAAACAGAGTTGCAAGCCAACAGAGGAAAAGGTCATGCATGGAAATAAGCCATGATAGGAGAAGGGGACAGGATGGGCTCCCGAGTGGCAGGAAGGCTCTCCCCTTGGATGGAAGACCCAGTGTGGCAGAGGGTAGAACAGCGGGGCTCTGCAGGATGTTGAGCAAGACTGCAAGGCTGACTTCCTGTTTCACAGACCTGATGGAAGCTCCCACCCCACAGTTCCCTGCAAGGGTTCACATGCTGAACTTTAATCACTAGTGCAAGGTATAAAGGGCTGAAATTTGATTGACTACTGCAGGGCCTCGGAAGGGTGATTAGACGAGGTCATCAGGGTGCAGCCCCCATGACTGAACCCCGGTGGCTCTAGAAGAACAGTCTGAAAGAGAGCAGAAGAGACACACTGGTCCCTGGCTGTCACCATGTGATGCTATGTGCCGCACTGAGACTGACAGCAAGGAGGTGATCGCCAGATACGGGACTGGACCTCGGACCTACAGAACCACGAGCCAAAATAAAGCTCTTCTTTAAAAAGTGTGTAGTCTTCGCTACTTTGTTATAGTAACAGGAAACAGACTAAGGCATACTGCCCCCTGAGCTCCCCAGGATTGAGACCTGGGCCTTTGCACTGAGCTACATTCTTGGCCCTCTATTTTTTTGAGACAAGGTCTCATAAAGTCACTAAGTTACCCAGGCTGGGCTTGAACTTACAGTCTTTCTGCCTTAACTTCCCAGAGTGCTGGGACTACAGTCATGTACCACCATGACTAGCCAAGACATACGTCTTTAGGTATCTGTGCTGCATACTCTGCTTCCTGCCCCGCACCTGGGAATGCAGCCCCTGCTCCCAGCCTAGGCCCCCTTCCATGTGCTCTCAAGATCCCACCCCTCTTCAGCTACTCTAGGACACAGCTCCAGGAACCCTCCCTGGAACATTCTCTCTGTAGGGAATATGCTGTCATTCTCTCTGTAGGGAATATGCTGTCATTCTCTCTGTAGGGAATATGCTGCCATAAAAAGTCCCTTTGTGACCCCGCCTTCCTCTCCAGCAAAAATTGTACACCCTTTCTTCCTTTAATTGAAAAGCTTCTTAGAAAAGATAAGCTCTCCAATTATTCTCCTTCCTTTCTTTCTTGAATCCACTCCAAAAGACCTCTGGCATATGACTCACCAAAGCAACTCATCTCAAGGGCCTGGTCTCAGGGCATGCAACACACATAAGAAGCCAGTGGCTCCCCAGTGCATCTCTTTAGCTAGGAGATCTCACTTTATTCCAGAGTTGGTGCAGCAACTCCTGTCCAAAATCTCCTCCTAGATACCTAACAGGCACCTCAGATTTAACCCAGCCCAAATTGAGCTGCCATCTAACCGCCATGTACCAGCTTCATGCATACTCTTCCCCATTTTAATTAACGGAAACACTAAAGTGTTGGAGTCCGCTCTTTCTCTACCGCACTTTGCATGCAATCTACCTGAAAAAACTGTTTTCTCCCATTATTTTTGCAAAATAAGCACAGAATCTAGTTGCTTTTCTTTACCCCACCACCAGCAAGGGGTCCAAGCTATCAACACCTGTTGCCTGGAACATACCAATAGGTTGTTTTAGTTTCTTGATTTAATAGAAAGACTACTTTAATCCAGAAGATGTCTATTAACTATAGTTTTCCCAGGGGTGGGGATTTAGCTCAGTGGCACAGTGCCTGCCTGGCAAGTGTGAGGTTGTGAGTTCAATTCCCGGTACCGGGGGGGGGGGGGGGGGGGAAAGAAACTATAGTTTTCCCTCTAACAGCGTTGTCAATATTCTAATAAACATGTCTCATTTTAGAAATAACATCTAAGACACAGTATGGCTTTGAATAAGACCCATGGTTGAAATATGACAGTGAATGACACCTGTCACAGTCCCCGAGGCCCATGAGCTCATTTCTCCCATTACTTTTGCTCCCTCTCCCTAGGCTGTTGGTCATAATTCATGGGGAGAATTTCATAAGAAAAAATGATAATAATTACAGAATTTGTCACACCTATTAAGGTGTCACCATCCTTGTTTGTTTTTGTGGTGCTGGGGATTGAACCCAGGGCCTTCTGCATGCAAGGCAAGAGCTCTACCACTGAGCCACAACCCCAGCCCCTAAGGCTGCTGTATTAAGCCTTGGGTCCTCCAGCGGCTTCTACCCTACAAAGTCCTCCAAGCTCTGCCTGCTGTCCGCTCCGATCTCACTTCCCCCTGTTCTTCCCACTTTGTTGCTCCACTCCAGCTGCCTCTCTCTTGTTTCTCAAACCCACGAGGTCCTTTCTAACCCTGGGGCCTCTGAACTTCCCACGTCCTCTGTCTGAAATGGCCCTGCTCTGATATCTTGCAGGCTGCTTTTACTTGCACAGACTTTAAAACTGGCAAAGGGCTTGGCAAACTAAATGCTACTATAGCAGTGTCCACTGGTGTGTGCATTTGGTCGATTTTCAGACATTCCCAGCATTCTGAGTGATGGAGCCAACGAAGATCCATGAGTCTGCTACCAGGGTCAACCGAGGTTATGGACACTGGGTTGGGTCCTTAGAGGAAATCAGAAAAGGACAGAACTGCAGGAAAACATGGCTTTTTTGATGTGTCAGAGCACAGGATACATGTTTCCATGTGTGGCTCAGCTAAGCCACCCTTTCAAAGAAATCTTGCCTTGGTGTGCTGGGCTCTGGGGACTCACCCTGTGTATATCACTCCTGTCTACACCACACAATCCTTTTCTGTATCCACTGGTATCGTGCAAGTGGCTTATTCTCTTAAACACAGAGCTACTGGGTAAATCAACATATTTCTGCAGAGAATGAATGAGAGAGACTACTTTCCTAAAGTCACAACACTGACGGCCAGACCTTTTCATGTGAATTGTTCAACTACATGTTTTTTCTTTTTTTTAAAAAAAGAGAGTCAAATATATCCATGGCCAACTCAGAGCATTCTGACTGCAGCAACAGAGACCACTTACCCTCTTATCAATGTTCTCCGAGTGTTCGTCGATGATGAGTGATGCCTGTTTATGGAGTTCTTCCCCAAAGATCTTGGGAGCCATAAGTGGAAATTGCACTGCCACATTGATGTGGTTTGCAAAGCCAACAATCTCAAAGTCTGGGGGCTCAATAGACACTGTTTAGGAAGCAAAGTCAGAAGGAAACCCCAGCATCAGTCAGTGGCTACATAACAGCAGTGCTCCCCACCATCAGCACCTAATCGTATTTATTTTAAACAAAAATAATTTTCTTTTTATCCTGCCTATGGTCCAGTTATAGTCTGTTATTGTATTTGTGAAGAATTAAGATTCAAAAACAAGTGCACCATTTGCTTAACATTACTACAGCGGAGTGAAGACAGATTTTGGGATGGAAGCCAGCAACATTTTCAATTTTCAGCCTGCAGCCTACACACAACATTAAAAAATAACTTATTTTCATAATGTGATCATAATACCAAATAATAGAAAATCACTGTCAAAAATACAGATAGCAATTATCTTTGTAGTCAGTCATTTTTTTAATCTATGCTATATGGGCCTAAATATATAATATTCATACACAGTTACTAAACTAGGGTATATATTTGTAAATACATGTACATGTACTATGTACATATATATCCCCATATATATATATAAATTAAAATTAAATCATTGTAGACCACATGGTTTTGCATGGCATATAATTTCATTTAACTGTATTTCATAAACACATTAATACATATTTACCTATATCAAGGGCTAGCCAATTATGGGCCATGGGTTGGCCTTTTGTACAATCTACAAGCTGAGAATGGTTGCTATTTTTTTTGAAGGACTGCAAACAACAACAACAAAGAAAAAAACAAAACCAAAACCAAAGCAAGCATGGGACAGACACCATATGTCCCATATGTCTTTACCGAAAGACTCTGAATCCCTGACTCACACCATAATTTCTCCTGGTTAATTCATTTTCACTAAGTAGCTGAACCATGGCTTCACTGATTCACTATTTTTTTTTTTTTTTTTTTTTTTTTGTTTTTTCTCCGGTACCGGGAACCGAACTCACGACCTTGCGCTTGCCAGGCAGGCGCTTTGCCGCTGAGCTAAATCCCCAGCCCCTGATTCACTATTGTTAACATTTAGATTGTCTCTTAATTTTTTCTGAGTGGATTTTATGTACTATCAAGCATTTAGAGTGCTAAATCTTGGCACCTGCATTTAATAATTTCCTTAGGACAAGTTACTAAAGAGGTATTCTGGATTGGAGTAGGCACATGTTAAGGTTTTTTATACATGCCGCCTAATCCCGTCAGAAGGACTATATCAAAGTGTGCTCTACATTCTTTCCCATCATGAGTCTGTATGTATTTTTCAGGTTTATCATTTGAATCATGAAAAAGACCTCATATAATTCTTCAACAGCCTAAATACCTTGAGTCATAAACTGTTTCCCTTTCCATCTGTGTACAAACATACAGATGTGACTCTTGATCCTAAACACACACACACACCACTGCAGCGATCTCATAGGTATCTAAATTATTTGCCACAGTGGATTCAGACACCATTACTCTGTGAAAAAGCATGGGTAGCGAGCGTATAATAGGGCACTGAAGCAGAATTGGATTTTTCTGGTCTTTTTTTGAAACAAGCTATAAAATGGAGACTGAAAAAGCAATGGAGCTGGAGGTGTTAATGCAAAGGCCTCTGGGAATGGCTGCAGGCACAGAAGTGAAAAAAGGAGCAGACCCAGCTTTGGGTGTGAACTTTGGGCCCCAGTGTATGCGTCCTGGATGTTCACAAGTCACAATCAGATGCTACAGGGTTAGAACCTGGGCTGGGGTCGCAGAAGAAAGGCAAACACTGACCCAGAGTGATGTGACAGCTTAGATCCAGGCCACCTGAGTTCCACTCCCCTCTTCCTGCTAGGCCATAAAGTGATGAGAATAGCAAGTACTACTGCCTGAAAGCCTGCTTTGTGCAGGTATGGTGCAACAATCTGCACTGATTAATTGATTGATTCATTCATTCATGAAAGGGTTTTGCTACATATTCCAGCCTGGCCTTGAACTCACTATGTAGCCCAGGCTGGCTTCAAACTCAGTGGTCCTCCTTTCTCATCCTTCCCCATGCTGGGATTATAGGTATGCGCCATCATGCCCAGCATAGCTATGGAGCAATAATCTGTAAAGAACACATTATGGTCCCACTCTTCAGATAGGAAAGCTAAGGCTTAGATCAGCAAAGTAACTAGTTCCAGTTACAGAGTTAGGAAGTAGTAGGGCCAGCTGTGAGCCTATAGCTCTAAATCTAAAATGGCTCTGCAGATCTTCCTATTCATAGCAGAGCAAATGATGATTTTTTTTTTTTTTTTTTTTTTTTTTTTGTACCAGGAATTGAACTCATGACCTTGTGCTTGCCAGGCAGGCACTGTGCCTCTGAGCTACAACCCAGGCCCATAATGATCTTTTTTGTGGGGAGCAGCTGAGCTGGACATGGACCACACATTGGGGGCTAGAGCAAGGCCAGCCCGGAGAACATGGAACGCCAGAGGCAAGCCATGTGAACAAGATGTTAGGACTAGGGCAAAGCCAGTCCCAGGAACGTGAAATGCCAGAGGCAGACCATGTAAACTGGCTGATCTCTAGCTCAGTGACATATTACCAGTGGGCCGGCCTTGGTGTTCCTCCCTGTTAACTACAGCACAGACAGTTTTGCTTCCCATGTTCTCAGCAAAACACTGACACCTTGCATTTCCCTCTGTCATGCACTTTCCCCCTTTTTACTGCGTATAAATAAAGACACAGACCATGCGAGGTTGTGGCTGCTTCTCCATCAGATAGGTCAGGTCCCACCCGGTCCCAGCTTTCCTCTTTGTATGTGTCCTGTCTTTTCTTAATCTCTCATTGCCCCCGCTCAGGACCCCACTGGCTGTGTGTCATGCAGCCCTTTTTTAATCATTTGTCTCAATATTTTATTTATTTTTATGAATACGCAGTGTTTACAGTATATAATGATTACAAGTATCATTACACTTGGAGAGCTGGACTATGTACAAAATACATCTTAATTCTTTGTTTTTCATTTCCTATCCTTCCCCTCTTTCCCTGCTCCTTCCAACTCTTGATCCCCTTCCCATGTGCAAAAACTCTATTTTCACCATTTTTCCCTTCCATCTTTTGCCTTCCCATCCCTCCCCCTCCTTCTCTTGTTCCCCCATCCGTTTGAAAAAGATCTCCCCATTTCCTCTTTACTTATTTTCTATTTTACATTCTCTCTCTCTCCCCCTCTCTAGCAGACATGGGTGTGCCCGCATTCCTGTGAAAGGATGTCTTTAACACTCCAGGGAAGATGCTGATGATCATCTTGATGAAAATGGTAAGATCAGGAAACAGAGCTCAACTCACTGTTCGTGGCCGTGATGGAATCAGTGCACTGAACCATCAGTGTTCTCCCTCTGAATACTTTCACCAGAGGAACGTACGTCTCGTGCACGTCCTGCCACACGTCTGTCAGGTCACAAGACGATTTGGTGACATTGGTACATTCCTCAACAATCTTCAAACCTTCTGCTTTACTTTGGGAAGAAATGGAAAAGGGAAAACGTCAGCATTTACAGAATGAGAATCTATTTCTGTGCCTCACTTCATTTCCTTTAAGGCTCTGCCCAGCTATCACGGCATCAAACTGTCTTTCCTACCCACTCTCAGTCCCTCTCACTCTTCAGTTTTCTTCATAGCATTGACCTCCGCCGGCCTCACACTTTTGTTCCTTTAATGATGTCTCCACCTACTTAGGCATTTCCATTTTCAGAGGGTAGGGGCTTTGAACAGACGCCCTGGTATATTGCAAGTGCTCAGTAAATACTTGCTGGATGGATGAATGAAACGGGCTTTCATGGTAAAGGCCTGAGACCTTCCTCCCTCTCCTTCAAGAACAATCACTGCTTTCCTTGAGAGGCCCTCCCTCTCCGCCTGAAGGTCCTACAGTCCAGTCCTAAGCCTGCTGTGCTAGTTAGGAGCCACACAAACATCAGGTCTACCATGCTACGGAAGACTGTGAGCTCTCAATGCACAGAGAAACTTTAAGACTCTGGCAGGTCAAAGGGAAACTCACAACAGAGCCTCCCCAGGGCCTGCAGCAACAGCTCGAAGCCAAATAACAAACAAAAGAACACTCCACGGGGCTACTGATCAAAGAATGACTTATCATCTATCACATCACTAATTCTTGAGCCAGCCCCCCAGTGGGGAAGTCAGCTCAGAGAGGTGGAGCTCCACGCCAAATGGCAAGTTGATTCGTGACTATACCAGACTTTGGACTCATGTTTGTCTTAGACTAGGCCAGGCAGCTTTTGAGTGTCCACCATGCCTCCATGAGTCAAGAAAAGTGAACATAAACCATCAATATGGTCCCCAGACCTTTGGAAAATACCAAATACCAGACTTTTAAAATTCTGATTAATTGAATTAAAGAAATTATTGGGAAAACCAGACAATTATTTTGCTGGTGAGGCTCTGACCTGTAGAAATTGGCTTTGGCCATAAATACAAACTTTGTCAAAATAGTTTTGGATTATTAAAGTATTCAACTGAATTAAAAATGGATGAGTATTTTGCCTATGGCCTTTCAAGGTTCTGAGTAAGAAATGAGACAGAGAACATACTAGAAAGATAATACATTTAGCATTTAGAGAAAAAAGGAACATCAACCAACCTCATGATTGTATACTGTAATGCATAGTGAGTTGGTTCAAAGGACTGGTTTTTCAACTCCCATGATAAGATCGACCGGTATTTTCCAAATGTCATCTTGAAATTACAGTGTTCACCTAGAACATCCAAAGAGAACAGGACGTGTGTCGGGGAACCACTGAATTCCGGAACCCAAAGACCATGAACCTATGTCCCCAGCAGGAGTCTGAGAAACACAGGAAGTCTACTGGACACGGGAAATAAACTAATATTATTCATTCATAAGCAACATATGCTCAGGGCAGGAAAGTTGAGGAAACAGGAACTCAGCACTCGGTAAGTGGAAGTTGTACAGAAGGACTTCCCCAGTTTTCACAGACTCCCAGAAGTTCATCAGACCCAAGCGACCCATGGCATTCCGGGCCACGCAGTACATTGCCTCACTGCTCCTTCACTCCACTCTCTCAACTCAGCTCCGTGCACTGCAGGCTTTTCTTTCTCTTTTTCTTTCTCTGTCCCTACATTTATTCTCTTGGTCACAGAGAGAAAGAGTACACCGCGGGCCCCACCTTCCTTTTAGGCACTTAAGCCCCATAGCAATGCAGAAGTAGCGACTATTCATAGACCTATTTTCCAGACTGAGTTTCCACACTAAGCTGAGTGCACAGTATTATGCCCTGGGAAGTGGTGGTGACAACTGGGACTTTAATGCTGTACTTGTTAAGTTCTGCCTCACAGGGTTAAATTTTGAAAGCTCAGCGACATTTCCTGTGGTTAAGACCCAGGCTTCTGCTTTCTGATGTTCACCTCCACTGTGGATCAGAAGGCTAAGCACCCATTTGATGCTTAGTGAAGTTTTGTGGGCATATTACATACGTGGGTAAGAATCCAGCTACAAATTATTTTTTCTTATCTGGAACCAAGAGTTGGAAAAATGTAAATTAAAGAGAAATTACTTCTCAATCACTTTTTGTTTACCATAACAGGTGTCTCCTTATTTTCTCTTGGTGAGAATATTAAGAGTTTGACTATTCTTTCAAGGGGCTTTCAAAATGATCTCCAGTTTCTTGTAATAGTTTTGTGAGGCAATTTCGAAAAACAGAGTTAGCAAATTTTAGCTCCCTTTATACAAAAAGGGCTCCAATAAAATAGGTGAAAGATGTGAGGCCAGAAGTAAAATTTCCCATATTTTAAATGTTTAGATAGTCCCCCTAGTACTCTGAATCTTATTCAAAAATTTAACCAAGCCAAGAACATCTCCTACCAGGGATATCAGGTGAAGCATCCAGTGCGAGGCTCACACACACTAGGAGAAAGAAAAACAAGTTAGAGACGCAGCACTGATTTATCTGGGCTCAACTTAAAACGACCACACTCAGTTTGCCTAACTTAAAGCATCAATGATCACATGTGTTAATACTGCATTGAGATTTTCTTGTGCTAACAAAAAGTTCAAGCAAATGGTTCTTAGGTGACATTAGTACCGTCAGCCCCTGGTCCACGGATTGCATCTGGAGTGGACTCAATGGAAGATCCATTTAGGACCTGGCACTCGAACCAGGGTTGGGTTGGTTGAGGAATATCCTGTGAAGCTGGTACTTGTCTGAGAAACTTCCTCAGAATATAAATAAGCATGTTGCTCATTAATAATTTTTGAAAGCAAAGATATTTACCAGGGGTGATGGAGGAGAAAAGGGGGTTCATGAGGGGGATTAATGAGTCCCATCTCCTTGGGCGGGAGAGTGGGGACATTTGTTTTCTGGATGTCACAATGACTTGGGGAGTGAATTTCCTGGCATTTGTGGACGGTGGAGGCCCAGAATGCTGGACATTATCTGGTACATGAACAGTCTGCCCGAGACAGCTGTCCCCCTCGTGTGCACCTTGCTGATAAACCACGTAAGACATGACACTGAAACAAACTAGATCACAAGGAAGGCAGAGAAGAGATGAGAATGAATAGTGCTGCAGAAAAAAGGTGTATAATAAATAAAATGCAGAGGCTGAAGTTCAGGGGGACTTTTCATCCTAGTGGCTGTAGTAAGAGATAAGTGTTCTGCCTCTTCCCAAATACAGCAGCAGTGAAATAATAAGAGAAATTATTCTTAAAATTAACATATAAGGGTGGTCTCCAATATTATGGAGCTTTATGTTATTTTGCTTATCTATTTGTCTTCCTAAAATTAAAAAGAGGCAGGAACCCATACTGAATTCTAACCATCAGCCTCTGTTTTCTGGCTATTATCCCTGGGACACTTGGCAGTCTAGGTCCTGTGGTCAGGGATATGGGTTTGCTGCTTCACACTGGAGCTCTGGCTGAGGCTATCACAGGTTCCCTTCTCCAAGGGCGGGGATAAACAGTAACACTTACCCACGAGACACCAAATAAGTAATCTGATGGCCCAGGCACAGTGGCTCCAAAGCATGTTTGTTAGTGTTCTAGTTCTTTCCTTACTTTCACATCTGAAAGGAAATCAATATTAGGATATTAAGATGCTAAAGTGTCTAATGAGGGGGCAACCCACTCGGGCCCCCTTCTGTCACTCTCTTGGACAGCTTTCTTTCCCTCAATAAATATATTCTGCTCTTAACCTCCATTGTTCCTAAAATTCATTCTTCAATTTTAGAGAACAGGAACTCATCCCAGATATCCTTCAGGTTGGGAGTTTTTGTTTTCCTGTACCCTTATGGAGGTTCCACCGTGATCCTTGGATGGAGATTTAAAGCTATATGCCTACCCAAATGCCTGGTGTCTATCGAGGGCTTTTAGATAGATCCTCTGGAGAGTATCTCTGACTGCCATCAACAACCAGGACCCCTCCCAGCCTGAAGAGGTCAGAGCGGTCATCGCCCCTTCCTCCCTCACGGCAGTTTGGGTTACTTCTTCAGAGCGGGGAATGTCATAGGCAGTTGAGTTAGATAGAAATATTATAGGCAGTCAGACAGGGCCAGGCCCTCGAAGGAGCCGACATGAAAGACAAGATAAGCTATGTATTTGCTGTGGGCCAGACCTCAAGACAAAGGACTAAACAAATACAGCCACACACCTCCCTAGGTGTAAACATCAGGGATTGATATTCTAAATAGGTTGGGATCACCTTGAAGAGTTGCTGACCCAACCCCCTACAGGAAAAGCCCCTGTTCTGTATTCATGCTGTGACTCGCTTCCCTATTTGATCCCAATTTAATCAATTTTACCTGAACAACTCTTATTGGCTGACCATAGTTTTGTCCATTTTCCCCCTATTTTGGACCCGCCTCACCTTGTAGTTTTGCTCTACAAAAGTCCCCAGAAAAACAGAGTTGGGGGCAACCCACTCGGGCCTCCCTTCTCTCCCTCTCTTGGACAGGAGCTTTCTTTCCCTCAATAAATATATTCTGCTCTTAAAATAAATAAATAAATAAATAAAATAAATAAATAGTCTAATGGGATTGTAAAAATAAAAACAGGACAAAAAAGACCCCAAGAAATAGTAAATTCCTGGTGGGGGCCTTGCCCACCCTCCCAGGAGCGGGCCAATGACTCAAACAGCTTTTTGCACCAATTCCTTACCCATCAGGGACAAGTGTTAAATATGACCTTTGAATAGCTAACAGTCATTGAACTAAAAAAAAATAAACATAAAAAACTAAGCAGCGAAGAGTCTTGCTTCTATTAAGAAAGTGCTTTCTTTACTGATTTTGGTGAATCCTTGGAATGTCTTTATGCACAAGCATAAAAATATATATATTCTTATTTCCGCCCTCATCTCGACAAGAGATAGCAGGTACAGTCCCTGTTCTGTGTCAATTTTTCTACTTAACATTTTATTTGGGAGATCTGCCCCCACCCCCATCAGAAAGAGAAATTTCTTGTTTTTCTTTTTTAAATAGTTGCACAGTGTTGTGTTCTATGGTCAGAACATCAATTATGTAACTACATACCTGTGATGGACATCTGAATTGTTTCTAATCTTTTCCGCAAGGAATTCTCTTGGGTGCACATCCCTGGCCCCTGTGCAAGTCTATGTGCAGAGAAAAGTCCAGGTGTAGGATGGCCACATGTTGTCATTTGAAAATGTCCCCTCAAAGATCATGTGTTGAAAACGTAATCCCCATATCAGGAAATGGAAAGATATCCTTTGCTCTTGGGTAGGAAGAACCAATGTAGTGAAAATGGCCATACTTCCAAAACTGTTACACAGATTTAATGCAATTTCGATCAAAATTCCAGCAACATATCTCACAGAATTAGAGAAAACACTCCTAAAATTCATTTGGAACAAAAAGAGATCTAGAGTGCAAAGACAATTCTGAGCAACAAAAGCAAGACAGGAACATCACAATCCCTGACTTGAAATTATACTACAAAGCTACTGTGATAAAACCAGCATAGTACTGCTTTATAAAAAAAAACAAAACAGACCCAATGATCAATGGAACAGATTAGAAGATGTAGAAACAACTCCAGACACATTCAGCCACCTTATCTTTGACAAAGGTACTAAACACATTCCCTGGAAAAAAGATAGCTTCTTTAACAAATGCTGCTGGAAAAACGGGCTTTGCACATGCCGAAGATTAAAACTGGACTCATATCTTTCACTGTGCACTAAACTAAAGTGGAAATGGATCAAAGATCTAAGTATTAAAACAGAAACATTAAGTGTGCTGGAAGATAGAATACGTAAAACTCTTGAAGACATTGGTGTAGGCAAAGACTTTATGAACAAAACCCTGATCGTACTGGAACTATCACAAAAAGATACAACTGGGATCTCATCTTATTAAAAAGCTTTTGCACAGCAAGAGAAACCACCAACAGAGTGAAGAGACAGCTCACAGTGTGGGGAAAAATGTTTGCCAGCTGTTTCTCAGACAAAGAATTACCACCAAGAACATATAAACTCAAAAAGTCAAATTGCCCAAACTTAAAGAATGGGTAATCAATCAAAAAATGGGTATTGGTCATGAATACACACTTCTGAGATGAAGAAGTACAAACAGTAAATAAATGTATGAGAAAATGTTCAACATCACTGGTCATTTGAGAGATGCAAATTAAAACAATGCTGAGATTCCATCTCACCCCAGAAAGAATGGCTGTTATCAAGAAATCAACCAATAACAAATGCTAGCAGTGCTGTGGGGAAAAAGGAACCCTTTCCACTGCTGGTGAGAGTGTAGACTGGTACAACCACTGGGGAAATCAGTGTGGAGACTCCTCAAAAAACTAGGACTAGAGGTTCCATTTGACCCAGCCATTCCCCTCCTGGGTATCTTCCTGAAAGAATTAAAAGCATCTAGACCGGGTGTGGTGGCACGCACCTGTAACCCCAGCACTTGGGAGGCTGAGGTAGGAGATACAATTGGCATCTTTTTGGTATCTGTGGGTTCTGCAGAGGTAAATACATACCTTACCTCTGTCTTTGTGAAGGGATTGACAATGACATGGAGGGTGTGGGCTCACTATTGAGAGTGGGTTGGTTACAGAATCAGGTTGGGTCCTCTCTACCTCTTGCCATGTGAAGTTCTCTACTACATCACTGTGAGTTCAAGACCAGCTTGGGCTACAAAGTGAGCTTAAGGCCAGCCTGAGCTGCATAGCAAGACCCTGTCCTGAAAAAAACAAAACCAGAAACCAACCAACAAACAAAAAACCCTCCAAGGAATTAAAAGCATCATACCACAGTGATATATGCACACCCATGTTTATAGCAGCACAAGTGTGTAATAACTAAACCTTAGAAACAACCCAAATGCCCACCAACTGGTGAATAGATCAAAAAGATGTGATTTTTTTTATACAATGGAATACTACTCTGCCATACAGAAGGATACACTTGAGACATTCCTAGGAAAATGGATGTACCTTGAGACCACATTCTTACGTGAAATAAATCCAACACACATGTGTAAATGCCACATTGTTTCTCTGGTGTGAGAAACAGAAAATTTAAATAAGGAACAAAATGTATATTAGGTATGGTGAAATACAGGAAGAAAATGTTCAAATGGGGGAGGGGAACAAGAGAGAGGAGAGAGGGCAAGGAGAGAGGGGAAAAATAAAAAAAGGAGAAAAGAAGAAAAACATGGGAAAAAAGCTTTTGTAAATGGGGAGGGGAGGAGGGGTTGAAGGGAGGGTAGGGGAATGGGGAAAATTAAACGAGTTATGTCATGTATGGATACAAATTCTTTATGATGAATGTGATCACTATGTACATCTAAACTGTACCAATAAGAGTCAATTAAAAACAAACCTTAATCCCCAATACCAGCGTTGAGAGGTGATTAAGTCACCAGCCTCTGCCTTCATGAAGGGATTAACAATGACATGGAGGGAGTGGGCTCACTGCTGAGAGTGGGTTGGTTACAGAATCAGGTTGGGTCCTCTTTACCCTCTTGCCATGTGAAGTCCTCTACGACATTATGCAGCAACAGAAGGCCCTCGCTAGATACGATCCCTCAACCTTGGGCTTGCCAGCCTCCGGAACCACGAGCTGGATACATTTCTGTTCAGTGTAGATCATTACCTTATCTGTGGTATTGTCACTGCAGCATCAAATGGATGAAGACATAAGCAAGAGGCCTAACAGCCATGGTGCCAGCAGAAAACTGCAATTCAAGTTAGAATATTTTTCAGAAAGACTTTATTTAATCAAGGGCCACTTACAAATGTGTGAGCAAGATGGAGGCATGCCATAAGGGAGCTTGCAGTACCGCAGGACAACAAAAGGGGGAGCCATCACCGCTCTGGGCTTGAAAAGTGAAAGAGAAGACACCTGCACTGGAATGTGAAAGGAGGGAATCCTGCGTGAAGACCTGCGACAAAGGGAAATGACACCACCAGTGCAAAGAGATTGTGCAGAGAGAGGACTGCAGAAGTAGTATCCCTCGGTGTTTCCATTCCTTCTCTAAATTGGGCCTCCCCATTGGCTAAACTCAACCAGAAGCCACCTGGCAGGGGGGCAGTGACTGTGTCCCTCCAAGTCAGGTGCCCAGGGCAACGTAAAGGGCAGGGAAGGTGGAGGATGAGTGTGCAGGGGTGGACAAAAGGGACCTGGCAACTGGACTAAGCACATGTCATTTGTGGAGACTGCCACACTGCCCACACTGCAGGTGGCACCAATTTACATAGGTACCCAGGACATGCGAGCATTTTTGGTTCTCTAGTCTCTTCACAGACATGCCTTGGATTTTCATCAAATTCGCAAATGAAAAGTTATCCTCACCCCAATATTAATTTGTACTTCTCTTATTCCCAATGAGCCTGGGCATCTTTTCACATATTTATGGGCTACTTACATTTCTTTCCTGTTCAAAGTCTTCCTCCCTTTGCCTGTTTTTGTACTGCGTTGTGCTGTTTTTGTTGATTTGCAGTAACTGCCTGTATGTATGAGGGAAACTGACCCCTTGTGATACGGATCACATTTTTCTCCTTCTCTTTATGTGATTTGCTTGTGTGTGGGTGTTTTAAATTACTC